AAGGAACTCTGCCAAACACAGCTGCAGGGGAGATGTCTAAGACAAGGACAGCCTTATCCATGGGTCCCTTATCCAAGCCATCTCTAACCAGTCTGACTCTGTCTTGACAAGAGGGACAGGAAACACCACAGCAAACTAAGTGGCTCCCTTTCCAGCCTTCCACGTGAGTTTCCAACAACTGTGGGGTGGCCAAAAATGCTTTTCTGCTTTTTTTGTAGGCGTGCTGGGCTGCACTAAGGAAAACAGACCGGTTTCTGAAATCCTTCGTTCAAATAGCCATTCATGATCATGATGTCCAGAGTTTCTGTACCAGCTTGGTGAGCTGTTTTCGTTGCCTCCATTGTTTTGGGGAGGGAGCTCTTGGGGCTTATTGCATTAGAGGCAACTCCAAAGCCATTATCACCAGATGGTCCAATGTTAACAACATAAAATGATTTGTTGCCCATCCCTGATCTAAAAAGCTGAGGTAAAGCTTTACTTTGCTGTAGACCACTGATGCATCCACTTATCATGGATAAAACTGACCTTATGGCAGTGCCATGTGACAGTTTTCAATGCCAAGCAATGGTGCAGGATTCCATTCGATCTTAGAAAGCCTATGTTTGCCAAACGTCAACGGCCAGGTTGTTCCCTGTTTGCTGGTGAGGAATAGCTTGAATCTTCATCCTGTACAGAGCAAGGAAATGATTCCTTCTTCTCAAACTTTCTAATTCTCCCTTGGCTCCCACTTTGCAGGTGAAGCGCTACAGAGAACAAGCGGAAAGCATCCTCATTGAGCAGGCATTCTCTTACCTGGAGAACCCCCGGCACGCTCTGAGGGAAGGCGCCATCAAGATCTTAGGCAAGCAGGGCTTTGATTCCAGCTGACCCCCCACATTGGCAGATCTGACTTTTGTGGATTTGAAAGTTTATGGATTTGGTTAAAATGTTCTCTCTAGGAATCTCTAGATCAGTGTTTCTCAACCTTCCTAATGCCGCGACTCTTTCATACAGTTCCTCATGATGTGGTGACCCCCAACCATACAATTATTTTCATGCCGAAATTGGAATAGTGGTTGGATTAGTGCAGGGGGAGGGGGGAATTGATTTTGTCATTTAGGAGTTGTAGTTGCTGGGATTTAAAGTTATACTACAATCAAAGAGCTTGTTGAACTCCACCAACAATGGAATTGAACCAAACTTGGCATACAGAACTCCCACGACCAAGAGCAAATACTGGAAGGGTTTGGTGGGCACTGGCCTTGAGTTTTGGAGCTGTAGTTCACCTACACCCAGAGTGCACTGTGGACTGTAACAATTGACTTTGAGTAGGACGTGCACTTTATGCGCAGCGGGAAGCCAGGGTGCCTCGAAGAGAGGCCCTAAAGCATTTTCCTGTAGAAAGTCTCCCACAGACGTCCAGCTTACTGACCGTGGAGCCTTTGCTCTGCAGAGAGCAGGAGCACGCCTCTCTCAAGAGTTGACTTCAAGCCCAACTCTTTTCCGGCCTATGTCTAGAGGGAAGGAATGAAGGAGAATAGGGGAAGAAAGGAAGGAAGGAAGGAAGGAAGGAAGGAAGGAAGGAAGGAAGGAAGGAAGGAAGGAAGGAGAGAATGAGGGAGGGAAAGAGGAAAAGAAGGAAGGGGGGAAGGAAAGAGGGAAGGAAGCAAAGAAGAAAGAAAGGAAAGAAAGAGGTAGAGAAGGAAGGAAGCAGAGAAAGAAGGGATAGAAAAACGGGTGAATGCAGGAAAGAGGTAGAGAAGGAAGGAAGGAGAGAAGGAAAGAAAAAAAGAGAAGGAAGGAATGAAAGAGAGAGGAAAGGAGAGGAAGGGAGGGAAGGAAAGAGAGAAGGAAGGATGGAACCAAAGAACAAAGGAACAAAGGAAAGGAAGAGGTAGAGAAGAAAGAAAGGGGAGAAAAGAAGGGAAAGTAAAAGGAGGGAGGGAGGGAGGGAGGGAGGGAGGGAGGGAGGGAGGGAGGGAGGGAAGGAAGGAAGGGGAGAATGAGGGAGGGAAAGAGGAAAAGAAGGAAGGAGGGAAAGAAAGAGGGAAGGAAGCAAAGAAGAAAGAAAGGAAAGAAAGAGGTAGAGAAGGAAGGAAGCAGAGAAAGAAGGGATAGAAAAACGGGTGAATGCAGGAAAGAGGTAGAGAAGGAAGGAAGGAGAGAAGGAAAGAAAAAAAGAGAAGGAAGGAATGAAAGAGAGAGGAAAGGAGAGAAAGGGAGGGAAGGAAGGAAGGAGAAGGAAGGCTGGAACCAAAGAGCAAAGGAACAAAGGAAAGAAAGAGGTAGAGAAGGAAGAAAGGAGAGAAAGAAGGGAAAGAAAAAGGAGGGAGGGAGGGAGAGGGAAGGGAAGGAAAGAAGGAAGGAAGGAAGGAAGGAAGGAAGGAAGGAAGGAAGGAAGGAAGGAAGGAAGGAAGGAAGAGAAAGAAGGAAAAAAAGGAAGGAAGGAAGAGAAAGAGGAGGGAAGGTTGGCCACAGCAATGCGTGGCGGGTACAGCTAGTCAGAAATAAATGTTTTCTGATGGTATTTGGTGACCCCTCTGAAACCTCCTCACGACCCCCCTAGGGGTTCTGACCCCCAGGTTGAGAAACACTGCTCTAGAACTTCTGGTGCAGCTCCAATATTGTACCATGGTCAGAGTCTAGCACAGTGGTTCTCAACCTGTGGGTCCCCAGGTGTTTTGGCCTACAACTCCCAGGAATCCCAGCCGGTTGTTAGGATTTCTGGGAGTTGAAAGCCAAAACATCTGGGACCCACAGGTTGAGAACCACTGGTCTAGTGGGTTTGGGTTTGGAAGGGACAAGGGTCATTGCACAATTGGTAGAAAATCCCAATCTGTTGAACAAACCCAACTAGCAAATCGCTATGGTGTATTCCTGACTTATGCCATAAGTCAGGAATACACCACAGAAAAACGGGTGAATGCAGGAAAGAGGTAGAGAAGAAAGGAAGGAGAGAAGGAAAGAAAAAAGAGAAGGAAGGAATGAAAAAGAGAGAAAAGGAGAGGAAGGGAGGGAAGGAAGGAAAGAGAGAAGGAAGGATGGAACCAAAGAGCAAAGGAACAAAGGAAAGGAAGAGGTAGAGAAGAAAGAAAGGAGAGAAAAGAAGGGAAAGTAAAAGGAGGAAGGGAGGGAGGGAGGGAAGGAAGGAAGGGGAGAATGAGGGAGGGAAAGAGGAAAAGAAGGAAGGAGGGAAGGAAAGAGGATGCCTAATTTGTTTGGTGTGTGTGTGAGTGTGTGAAGGTTATTGCATGACTATTATGTTTATACTTTTGTAATTCTAGTCTTGCACAAAGAACAAGACAGTATTTTCAGTTTATGGGCTTAGGTGTGCTTGATTCCAGCTGCTCTTTTTATACCTGCCGTTGCTTTAGTGAAGAGGTGATACCTCATTCTAGCCATACAATGTGTTCCTCTCCCTAGAAATCATTGCTCAGGATACCAGTCGCAAGGAAACTGTAAATGCCATTGCAACAGGTAAGTGGAGCTTGTATCAATAGTCTTATTGACAACTCAGGTTGCATTGCCACTGACAGACCACTCTTCTCTCTGTGGGTCTAAGTCGTAAACAAGGGCCCACTGAGGAACACCAAGTCCAAATTAACTCACTGAAATGGGTAAGATAGCCAGTGCCAAGAGGAAGGCGCGCCAAGCCAACCCTGACTGGGACCACCTCCCACCTGGAAACCGATGCCCTCACTGCAGGAGAACATGCAGATCAAGAATAGGGCTCCATGGTCACCTACAGACCCACCCCCAGGATACTACACTTGGAGGACCATCATCCTCGGACTACAAGGGATTGCCTAAGAGAGGGCACTTCTGGGACTACAACTCCCAGAACTAGAGCTGGATTCCATAATTGGGAGTCTACTTGAAGCTGATGGAGCATGAAGTTCCTCCAACAAACTTCTGAGGAGCTCCAAGAAAGAGGGTGAAAGGACTTTCCTGGTGCTCCTCTATGACCAATTACTCTGCATATTCATCGTGGTTAAGAAAACAGGACCTCCACAGACATGTAAATATCACACTTTTTAACACCTAGAATCATAGAATCAAACAGAGTTGGAAGAGACCTCATGGGCCATCCAGTCCAACCCCATTCTGCCAAGAAGCAGGAATATTGCATTCAAATCACCCCTGACAGATGGCCATCCAGCCTCTGTTTAAAAGTTTCCAAAGAAGGAGCCTCCACCACACTCCGGGACAGAGAGTTCCACTGCTGAACGGCTCTCACAGTCAGGAAGTTCTTCCTCGTGTTCAGATGGAATCTCCTCTCTTGTAGTTTGAAGCCATTGTTCCATTGCGTCCTAGTCTCCAAGGAAGCAGAAAACAAGCTTGCTCCCTCCTCCCTGTGGCTTCCTCTCACATATTTATACATGGCTATCATATCTCCTCTCAGCCTTCTCTTCTTCAGGCTAAACATGCCCAGCTCCTTAAGCTGCTCCTCATAGGGCTTGTTCTCCAGACCCTTGATCATTTTAGTCACCCTCCTCTGAACACATTCCAGCTTGTCAATATCTCTCTTAAATTGTGGTGCCCAGAATTGGACACCTCTTTAGGAATATCTGTATCTTCTGGTGCAACTCAATGGACAACTTGCACCAGAACATTGCACTGAAGGACCTACCAATGCCTAGAGAAATGTTCTATCCAAGTTCTTCAGTGTGACTCCAAGGTCAATTCATCTGCTTTTCCTTTCTCGTTGGTTTTAGTCCTGAACCTTGTGAGTTTGGAAGCCAAGTCCTCCGACATCTACTTGGCAGCATCACAAATGATGGAGACTGTGGGACACGAGTCTTCAGAAAACATCTTTGAGAGATTCTTCAACTCAATCAGAACTATCTGGAGGGGATAGGTGTTGCCCGATGCTGGTACGTGACCTATAGTTTTCCAATCATTAGCTCCATGGAAACACTGTACAATGGACAAACAGAAGCCACACTAGCAAGCAAAGATAGCAGAGTCCATTCACAGCAGAGTCCAGCTCAATGCAAACCAGCATCTATCCTACAACATCACTATCGTAAACCAGCTCCATTTCTTTTGTTTGCAGGACTGACTTTGTTTCTGTCTCTTTCACTTTGTAGCTGATTGCCGTGGCTCCTCATGCTGGCCTGGTCTGGATCACAGTTCTGAGTCTGAACCATTTGTTCCATTTGGACGTCTTCATCCCATTCAGTGTCCATGGATTCCTCTTCCTCTGTTCCTTTTTATATGTGTAAAATATTACCCTTGTGGTCAAGGTTCTCTAAACTCATCTGGTGACCCTCCAAGTGTTTTTTGACTACAGCTCCCGTGATCCCTTGCCATTGATTGTGATGGGAGTTGTAGGCCAACAAAATCCAAGGAGGAAAGGGGAGACCTCCTCTAAATGCAATAAGAAATGAAGATGCTAGTTTCACACCAAAATCCCTCTGTTTTACTGAAGTGTGTGTTGTTTGTAATATTTATATTGTTAGGGACCCTAAATTGGGTCTTCTTAGGTCCACATCACGGGAGCACGTAAGGGAGGAGACAGTCCCCAAAAAAAGATTAAAAAACAAGGTTTATTTTAGTTTCTTCATGAAGAAGCATATGCAGATGCTACCCTTCAAGTGACTACTGCGCCCCCTTGGCTTTTGTACACAGTTATATACCTTCAAGTAAACAAGAACATTTTTTTGGTCATGGAAAGTATTCTCTTTCTAGTCCCTCTCCCTTGACCTTTTGATGGAAAGTACCTTCTTGTACCTGCAGACTCTGCGCTTAACCACAACCTTTGGCTTAACCACAACACAACTACTTCCTATGTAGGCTTGAACTTTGTATGACCTCTACATGCCACATCTTGTTTCTTAAAAACATTTTCTTCCATGTTGCTCTTTTTCTACAGAGAAAGGGTATATTTCTCTTTTGATATTAATTTCATTCAAAGCCCCTTGCTTAGCACTTGGAAATTTCACTCAACCTTTTAATATCCCTCTGTCTGTTGTCAAGGCATGCCCAATACAGTGTACAGAATAAAAAAAGAAAATCTAAACCTAACCTGTGTTCTTATATCAAAATACAACCTAGCCCATAGCCTTGGTTCTCCACCTATACTAAACTCAGGTGGCCAGGTATCTCCTCAATATGGACCTTCTACTGAGCCAGAGCCTTGGTCAGTTTGACCCAGGCAGCAGCAAAATTCGGCCCTGCAGGTGTTTTGGACTACAACTCCCACAATTCCTAACAGCCTACCAGCTGTTAGGAGTTGTGGAAGTTGAAGTCCAAAACACCTACAGGGCCGAAGTTTGCCCGTGCCTGATTTAGGGCAATATTGCCAACTCAAACCAGCAACCAGAGATCTCCAAACATTTGGTCAGAACTTGCTTAGAAGCCCAAGTCCTACAAGAAAATGTTGATTGTAGGTTAACTATAAATCCCAGCAACTACAACTCCCAAATGACAAAACCAATCCCCACCCAACCCCACCAGTATTCAAATTTAGGTATATCGGGCATTTGTGCCAAATTGGGTCCAGTGAATGAAAATACATCCTGCAAATCAGATATTCACATTACATTTCATAACAGTAGCAAAATTACAGTTATGGAGTAGCAACAAAAATAATTGTATGGTTGGGGGGTCACCACAACATGAGGAACCGTATTAAGGGGTCACAGCATTAGGAAGGTTGAGAACGACTGCTCTAGCCCTTCTGTTCCATCCTCAAACTGTCACTCTCTTGGAAAGTTGTGAGAAAGCAAGGCCAAAGACAATGAAGTATACACCTTCTCCTGCACAACTATATCAATGGGCAACTGTGCTGGTACGGCTGTACCAGGAGTTCCAACTTTATTTTCTTTCTGTTATCTGTTTGCAGTCATAGGGCAGGCCTCCTGTCCATCATAATTAAGCTTTGGTTCCGCCCCTTGTTCAGGGCTCTGGGAGGGAAAGGAGCCATTTTTTGGGCAGTCTCACATAAGGAAGCTAAACTATAGGACGTAGACCAGCTCGTCCCATAGAAAAGCTTCTTTTCTCAAGAACATCTGGGGAAGCAGAAACAGAAATTTCAGGGAAAAGGTCCCAAGGCTCTGGCTGAGAGCTCACAGCCTCTCAGCCTCACAGCAATCAGAGGGAAAACAGCCCTGAAGTTCTCAAAGAATTCTCTGAGGGAGGACAGCACTACAGATCCACAGAACTCCATCTGAAATATCTACAAGCCTCGGTTGGTAGGTCTACTTGATACCCAGACGCATTTGGAATCGGTAGTAGAACCCACACAATGAGACATAGATAGAAAGCAGTCTGGGGAGAGGTTAAAAAGAGTTTTTTTTTTCCTACAGAGAAAGTACAGCTAATCAAAGTCAGGTAATCAAAGTCAGACTTTGTTGTATCATTAAAGACTCTAAAGACCATCACTTCAGAAAAATCCCTGAGAACCTCTCTTTGAGGCACCCCTGGCTTCCCACTGGGCTTAAAGTATACGTCCTATAGAAAAGACAGCTGTTACAGGCCCAGCGCGCGACAGAACAACAACACAACCAAAAGAAGACAAAATAAGGAAGGGTTGGAGGAGATGTTTTAATTCAGCGGATCGTTTGTTCCAACCTTAAAGGCCATGTAGCCTTCTTGTTCAGCCCCTACATAAAACAGAGGAGCAAAAAAAAAAGATTTCTTGGGAGTCCAATGGGAGATTCATCCAGGCTGAGACTTGTTGTGTTGCCAAATGAAGTCTGGAAAAAGAGGAGCCTCTCACTCTGTTAGGAAGAAAGCAGAAATGTCACAATTTACCTCCAAAAGAAAAATTCTGTCCAATGGCTATTAACAACAACACCAGCGAAATAGAGCTTCCATTCCCAGGAGAAAATTAACTTTGGTCTGCCAATTAATGAAAGCAAACAAAAGTCGAAGGGATGTAATCTTCAAACTCTGCTTATTACTCAAAACCTCATTGGGATCACTGGAAATGGGTTCAAATCCCTGTAGGGCCACTCGTGACCATTGCATTGAGCCATGGCAGCTACAGTGGCATCAAACTGCATTAATTCCACAGTGTAGATGCACCCGTAGCTCCTCAAAAAGCCAAATTTCACCTTTAAATAATGCCGGTAGTAGCCTTTCTCCCTTGGTAAGGTACCAGCCAGCAAAGGCAAATTGTGCTAGCACGGCTGTGCCAGGAGATTTGATGCTTTTTCTTGCACTGTTAGTTTGTTTGGGCCTTGCATTTTGCAATTGGGTAGCTTTCTCCTGGTTGCAGTCATAGGGGAAACAACCTATCAATCATCATTAGAGCCTTTAGATCCYCCCTTTTCCCCAGGTTTGGAGGAAATTTTTTATTTATTTATTTACTTACTTACTTTATTTGTATACCGCTCTTCTCAGCCCTTAGGCGACTCAGAGCGGTTAACAGCAACYGTTTCAGTATACAAAYTACAAGYTTATTYGGTATTTAAAAGCAATCACATAACAAGTTAATTAAACAGTAAAKATCAATACAACAATATATCAATACATCAATATAACAAATCCATCAGATCTCATCACTAGAATCAMAATCCAGTCTCGTTATCCATTATTCCATGTTCCGCTAATCAATCAATTGCACTGCTTAGTCAAATGCCTGTTCAAACAGCCAGGTCTTCACTTTTCTCCGGAATGTCAGTAAGGAGGGGGACGATCTGATGTCTGCAGGAAGGGCYTTCCACAGCCGAGGGGCCACCACTGAGAAGGCCCTGTCTCTCGTCCCCGTCAAGCGTGCTTGTGAAGCTGGCGGGACTGAGAGCAGGGCCTCCCCAGACGATCTTAATGTCCTAACTGGTTCATAGGAGGAGATGCGTTCGGACAGATAGATTGGGCCAGAACCGTTTAGGACTTTAAAGGCTAAAGCCAGAACTTTGAATTGTGCCCGGTAGCAAACTGGCAGCCAGTGGAGCTGGCGCAACAGAGGAGTTGGGGACTTTTAGTTCAGTCTCACAGTTTGGAGCCTCACAGCAGGACGTGTGGGCTTTTCTCTGTCCCACCTGCAAAAAGCTTAGTTTTTTACAGCTTTGATGGGGTTAAAGAAATAGATCTACAGCCAGCTTCTGTTGGGGGAAAAGGAAAACCTCTGCAGCTTTGCTGGGGAGTAAAATTACAGCTCCACAGCTTTGCTGGGGGAAATACAGCCAGCTTTGCTGGAAAATAAAGGAGTGGTTCCACAGCCTTCATGGGGCAAATCTACAGGACACCAGAGCTTGGCAGATCTACAGCAACCATTGCCTGGTAAGGGACCACTTGGGCTATCCATAACGCAGCTTGGAGCCGGGAGTTGGGGCCTCATGCCAGTAGGGTAAAGAAAGATTGCCCAAGGAGGGGTCGGAAGGTTTCCCTAAATAAGATAGGAACAGTTTATCAAGCAGTTGCCTGTCCCTTGTTGGCAGATCGAGAATGCTACCAGTTTTTCAAGATTATAAAACATTTAATTCATTTGTTCAAAGATTTAAGCCTTAATAAAGAACTTTGTTGAACCTAGTTTGAGCCTCTATAGAACTTTGTGTTGGGAAACCTATGGGACCCTTTAGCTGAGGCACCCTGGCGTCCCATTGGGCATACGTCCAGTAAACAGACATTATCATAGGCCCAGCGTGCAACAGCACACAAATGGTCTTAATATTTGAAAGCAGGGTAAACGTCGCAGATGAGGAATCCGCAAACAACCCAGATGCCCTTTTGTTGCCAACCCAACACACCATCTCACCTCTTTCGTTGCTGTTCGGCTCCTCTTCAGACGATGTTGCTGTTGATTCCAAGACAGGAAAAAGAACATATTTGGTTTGTGTCAAACAAGGAAACTGAATAAACAATTGGATACAGAGGGATAACTGTACAAATGCCTAGGGAATTGCTCTGCGTAGGAATCTCTAGGTCTTCCAATGCAACCCTGTGTGTCAGAAGTTGGCCATAAAGCCCTATTGGAGGACCTACATATTCTGAAAGAGAACGTATGAATCCAATCCACAATTATCACTAGGTAACAAAATTTGGGGAAAAAAATCTGTTCCTAGGTTGAAAGTGTCATTTCCTGTTGAATTGTGCGGTCCTTACTTCGAAAGTAGTTGTTCTACTCCAGAAACTTTGCTTTTGTGGCTGCCACAAAGTAGGTTGAATTGGCTGAGACTCAATGACAGCGTTTCTCAACCTGGGGGTCAGGACCCCGGGGAGATCACGAGGGAGTTTCAGAGGGGTCACTAAAGACCATCAGAAAACATATATTTCTGATGGTCTTAGGAACCCCTTTGGCAGAGAAGGCTGAAAATCTCTACGCATGTCCTTCTCTTCCTTTTTGGAAAGACTGCAAATCCTCCCATCAAAAGCCGTCCTCTTGCATTGATTGGTCGGCCTCTCTGCTAAGGGGGTGGGCTGTTTCTGAGACTCCAATTGGTGAGGGGAGAGTAGGCATGCTGGGTGCATAGCAGCATGGTGCGCAGGCGAGGGAGAGTGTGTGAGGCTGGAGGGAGGCTCATGCCAGCGAGTCCCTTCAAGGGTTCTGTGTGGGAAGTTTAGCCCAATTCCATCATTATCAAACCACAACATCTTCCAACTCAATGGTTTGAGTGTCATTTAAGAGAGAAAAGTGGAATGTAAACAACAACAACAACAACAACAACAATAATAGTGCTGTCACGCGCTGGGCCTATAGCAGTTGGCTTTTGAACAGGACGTGCTCTTTGTGCCCAGCGGGAAGCCGGGGTGCCTCGAGTGAGAGGCCCTAAGGATTTTCCTATACAGAGTCTTTAGAAGCTTGAAAGTTCAACAAAGTCCTTTATTATTGCTTAAGTCTTCAACAAACAATCAAATACTTCTTAGATCTTCAACAAATTAAACAAATGCTTCAAGGCTTTGAATCAACTGGTGGCTTTCTTAATCTTGTCCACAAGGGACAGGCAACTGGCTTCGTGAACTGTTTCTTTTCTTTAAGAGGAAAACCCTTTTTAACCCCTCCTTGGGCAATCTACTTTCTAAACTTTGCTGGTGTGGGCTCTACTCCCGGCTCCAAACTGCTTCTTGGGTCCCGAGTAGACCTACCAGTCAAGGCTTTGTAGATTCTCCAGCTGGAGTCCTTTGGAACTGTTTCCCCCCGGATGCTGTGAGAAACGAAGCTTCTCTACAGGTGGAGCTAATCCACGTCCTGTAGCTAAGCTTTCCAATGCAAGACTGACCTAAAATGGCTCCCTCTCCTCCCAGAGCCCTGGGGAAAGGGGCGGAACCAAAACTTAACAATGATTGATGGGTCATTGGCCCTATAATTGCAAACCAAGGGAAGCCACCTTATTGCAAAATGCATGGAACTTTGGAATACATGCAGACACTCAATAGAAAGGAAAAAGTTGGAGCTCCTGGTACAGCCGTACCAGCATAATAATAATAATAATAATAATAATAATAATAATAATAATAACAGCCAGTCAAGGTGGTCCTAGTGGTGATCGGCACACTGGGTGCAGTGCCTAAAGACCTTGGCCTGAACTTAAACACAATCGGCACTGACAAATTACCATCTGCCAGCTGCAGAAGGCCACCTTACTGGGATCTGCACACATTATTCACCGATACATCACACAGTCCTAGACACTTGGGAAGTGTCCGACGTGTGATCCAATACAACAGCCAGCAGAGTGATCTTGTTTGCTGTGGACTCATCTTGTTGTGTTAATAATAATAATAATAATAATAATAATAATAATAATAATAATAATAATACGAAGAAGAAGAAGAAGAAGAAGAAGAAGAAGAAGAAGAAGAAGAAGAAGAAGTTTTTATGTATCCTCAAAAGATATTCAATGTCTTTTAAATGCCTCTGAACTCCATTCAGAGGCATTCCAACTTTCCAAGGGGGTTGAACCTACTACAGAAGTAAATCTTGTAAACACATTCGGGTTCAGAGTCAATCTTGGGTGGGAACCACCATAAGATATGGCTTTCTTGCCTTTCAATGGATGCTCACCTTGGACTGGAGGCTTGTATCCATCGCAGCCAATCTTGGGTCTCTTCTGGTGGTACTTATCGCAGAACAACGGTTTCCCTGTTCGGCTACAACACCAGTCGTAGAGCTTCAGCTCTTCATCTAGACACAGGGAGCAAGAAAGGAAAGGATGAGTGTGTTGATTTGGCACAGCTTTGTGCACCGAAATATCCTAAAGGTATCAGATCCCTTCTGATCAGCCCTGATTAGTATTTGGATGCGACACTGATGATTAATAACAGATGCTATAGACCAGGCATGGGCAAATTTGGTCCTCCTTCCAGGCGTTTTGGACTTCAACTCCCACAATTCCTAACAGCAAGTTGCCTACCATTGCTCATTTGTCTATTGCCTACTATTGTTCACTTGTCTATCGCCTGCTTTTTCTCACTTGTCTATTGCCCACTATTACTCATCTATTACCTACTATTGCTCACTTGTCTATTCTCTACTATTGCTTACTTGTCTAGTCCCTATTATTACTTACTTATTTAGTCCCTACTATTTCTCACTTGTCTATTGCCCACTATTACTCATCTATTACCTACTATTGCTCACTTGTCTATTCTCTACTATTGCTTACTTGTCTAGTCCCTATTATTACTTACTTATTTAGTCCCTACTATTTCTCACTTGTCTATTGCCCACTATTACTCATCTATTACCTACTATTGCTCACTTGTCTATTCTCTACTATTGCTTACTTGTCTAGTCCCTATTATTACTTACTTATTTAGTCCCTACTATTTCTCACTTGTCTATTGCCCACTATTACTCATCTATTACCTACTATTGCTCACTTGTCTATTCTCTACTATTGCTTACTTGTCTAGTCCCTATTATTACTTACTTATTTAGTCCCTACTATTTCTCACTTGTCTATTGCCCACTATTACTCATCTATTGCCTACTATTGCTCACTTGTCTATTGCTGACTATTGCTCACTTGTCTATTGTTTATTATTGCTTACTTGTCTAGTCCCTATTATTGCTTACTTATTTAGACCCTACTATTGCTCACTTGTCTATTACCTGCTATTTCTAATTTGTCTATTGCCTACTATTGATCACTTGTCTATTGTATTTTATTGTTTATTTGTCTAGTCCCTATTATTGCTTACTTATTTAGTCACTATTATTTCTCACTTGTCTCTTGCCTGCTATTACTCATTTATTGCCTACTATTTCTCACTTGTCGATTGCTGACTTTTGCTCACTTGTCTGTTGCCTATTGCTTACTTGTCTGTTGTCTACGATTGCTCACTTGTCTATTGCCTACTATTGTCTAGTCCTTACTATTGCTTACTTGTCTAATCCCTATTATTGCTTACTTATTTAGTCCCTACTATTGCTCACAGGTCTATTGCCTACTATTTCTCATTTCTCTATTGCCTACTATTACTCACTTGTCTATTGCCTACTATTTCTCACTTGCCTGTTGCCTATTGCTTACTTGTCTGTTGTCTACGATTGCTCACTTGTCTATTGCCTACTATTGTCTAGTCCCTACTATTGCTTACTTGTCTAATCCCTATTATTGCTTACTTATTTAGTCCCTACTATTGCTCACAGGTCTATTGCCTACTATTGCTCATTTCTCTATTGCCTACTATTGCTCACTTGTCTATTGCCTACTATTTCTCACTTGTCTGTTGCCTATTGCTTACTTGTCTGTTGTCTACAATTGCTCACTTGTCTATTGCTGACACTTGATCACTTGTCTATTGTCTACTGTTGCTTACTTTTCTAGTCCCTATTTTTGCTTACTTATTTTTTAGACCTTCCTTCTTTCTCTCTTGTGTATTGCCTACTATTGCTCAGTTGTCTGTTGTCTGTTATTGCTCACTTGTCTATTGTTGACTTTTGCTCACTTGTCTATTGCTGACTATTTCTCAATTCCCACAAATCCTGGAGCTCAAAGGCCTTCCTTACCCATGAAAGGGGAACTTTTTCTGGAGGCCTTCCAGATTCTCTCCTGATGTCCATCCACCAGCTGGCCACCATCGTTCTTGTAGAGACACCGGACCCCAGAGCCGTACTTGTTTGGGGCAGAGGAATATAGCATGGTGAAGTGGGATTCCAGCAAACCTGCAACCATCAATGATATTGATTACATGCTATTTATGCTTCACTCAGGTAGAGGGACATGGATGTGCAGAAGAAAATGCTCTCCAGATTGTTTACCGATGAAAAGGAAAGGTGCTTTGGTAGACTTATAACATGACAAATGCTTGATCAATGCTTTGACCATCTCCCAAAGCAGTTGCTGTACTCTGAACTCAAGAATGGAAAATAGAATGTTGGTGGGCAGGAAAGAGATTTAAAGATGGGCTCAAAGCCAACCTTAAAAACTCTGGCATAGACACTGAGAACTGGGAAGCCCTGGCCCTTGAGCGCTCCAGCTGGAGGTCAGCTGTGACCAGCAGTGCTGCAGAATTTGAAGAGGCTCAAATGGAGGGCGAAAGAGAGAAACATGCCAAGAGGAAGGCGCATCAAGCCAACCTCGATCGAGACCGCCTTCCACCTGGAAACGAATGCCCTCGCTGTGGGAGAAGATGCAGATCAAGAATAGGGCTCCACAGTCACCTACGGACCCACCCTGGAGGATTATCCTACTCGGACAACGAGGGATCGCCTAAGTAAGTAAGTGTTAAGATTATAAGAAAGATGCCCTGTGTTATCTGCACAGAGAAACTACTTCAAATTCTATCTCTAACTGGACCGTTAAACAATGTTCCTGTATGCTGAACACATGAAGTTTGTGAGTAAACCAACACTGTTACTTTTAAAGAAGTCTACTTATTTTGTCACTCGAGAGCATGATTTAAACCAAGATGTTTTAAGGAGAGTAGGAAAGAGTAGATGTTTTGGGGCAACTGAAAGAACACTTCTGAAACTCATGTATATGTGTGTGTGTGTGTGTGTGTGTGTGTGTATGGAGGGAGGGAGGGCTGAAACTCTCTCTCTTTCTATATATATATATATATATATATAGAGAGAGAGAGAGAGAGAGAGAGAGAGAGAGAGAGAGTAATGTATATATTTGTTCCTAACAGTTCAGAGAGATAGACAGATATATCAGTTTAACAGCTGAGAAACCTAAATTGTCTTGCACAAATACTAATGGATACTTACCACTAAAGAGAAGGTTGACTCAAGTGAATTTTTAACTCTTCTCAAAGAAATTCCTGATTTTCTCAAATGGTAATGAATGCAATTTTTCCAAAATGTTACGATATCTAACAAGGTCATGTCTTTCCAAAGATCACAATTCTCCAAAAGGTTATGGAATCATTTTTCCAAAAGGTTATGAAATCATTTTTCCAAAAGGTTATGAAATCATTTTTCCAAAAGGTTATGAAATCATTTTTCCAAAAGGTTATGAAATCATTTTTCCAAAAGGTTATGAAATCGTTTTTCCAAAAGGTTATGGAATCATTTTTCCAAAAGGTTATGAAATCATTTTCCAAAAGGTTATGAAATCATTTTTCCAAAAGGTTATGATTTCTAACAGTCTGGAAACCATGAATCCCCCTTTGCAAAGATCATAATTCTCCAAAAAGATGGAAGTAGGGCAGAGGTTCATGAAGAGAGCTTGTGTACCTTTTTTGCCGAGGGTGAAGTGTCCATCTGACAGCCCCTGGCTCAGGGAGCAAGGGCAAGGGGGTAGGTCTTTGTTCCAAGCCAGCGGCTGCTTCTCATTGCTCAGCCAGTCCAAACAACGCTGCCGGTAGTTCACTCGGATGCGGCTGTCCAGCTTGTAGAGCCACAGGCCGCGCACTCCTGGAAAGAAGAACACACGGAAGGAGTCATAGAATCGTACAATCCTGGAGTTTGAAGAGATTCCCAAGGGCCATCCAGTCCTTTTTTGTATTGTGTTTTTTCCACAATTATTATCCGTACCTGTGTTGTAACCGGGGACACGATCCGGTCGATATTTTACAGCAGGCATTTGAGACATCAGGTCGTCATTTCTGAAGAATCCATCCCCGCTGAGGACAAAGAAAGGGAGAGATATGATGTTCCAATTTTCAAGGATCTTGGGTATTATAGTTCTGGATTTGTTAGCTAAACTTTCATGTATACTAGTGTCTCTGCAGTTTGGATGAAGTTAAGGACTCGCTCCACTATTTGTTTAGTTGTTAATGTATTGTCAACGGCTGGAATCACTGGGTTATTGTGAGTTTTCTGAGCTGTCTGGCCATTTTGCAGAAGCATTCCCTCCTGACATTTTGCCCACATCTATGGCAGACATCCTCATAGGTTGTGAAGTCTGTTGGAAACTAGGAAAATGGGGTTTGTATATCTGTGGAATAATGTCCAGGGTGGGACAAAGAACTCTTGTCTGTTTGAGGTAGGTGTGAATATTTTAATTGGCCACCTTGATTAGCATTTAATGGCCTAGCAGTGGGGTTTACATATCTGTGGAATGTCCAAAGTGGTAGAAATAACTCTTGTCTGTTTGATGTAGGTGTGAATTTTGCAATTGGCCACCTTGATTAGCATTTAATAGTCTTGCAGTTTCAAGGTCTGGCTGCTTCCTGCCTGGGGAAATCCTTCGTTGGGAGGTGATTAACTGTCCCTGATTGTTTCTTGTCTGGAATTCCCTTGTTTTTTTGTTTTTTTTAGTGTTGTTCTTGTTTAGTTGTCCTTTGTCAAAGGGAATTCGATTAAAAAAAGTTGTGAGCCTAATTAGATCACGAGAAAAAAGTGGAGGATAAATAAATACATTATTACTATTATAATTTTTTTTTCTTTGTAAATTTTATAATGCTTTACACAATATGTACAACATCACGATATCGTTACGGATCACTATTTACAGTTTATTATTATTATTATTATTATTATTATTATTATTATTATTATTATTGACATGTCTGCCAAAAATGGATTTTTACTTTTTCACAAAATCCCTTTTTACACTGTCATATAATCCAGATTATCTGCTTTGGATTATATGAATCTACACTGCCATATAATCCAGTTCAAATCAGATAATCTAGATTTTCTATGGCAGTGTAGAAGGGGCTCAGGTGCATCTATATTGCAGAATTAATGTAGTTTGATACCACTTTAATTGCCATGACTCAGTGCTATGCAATGCTGGGATTTATAGTTCGGTTAGGCACCAGCTTTCTTTGATAGAAGAAGCTAAAAACTTTGTGAAACTACAGCTCTCATGATGCTACGGCATTGAGCCCTGGTAGTTAAAGTGGTGCCAATCTGGATTACTTCTAGTGTGTAGATTAGATGTTTTTTTCTCAAGGCTTGGCCCTACCTGGTATATCCCACCAGCACGTTTTTGGAAGAGAGTTTGGTGTAGTCCCATTGCATTCCTCCAGCTTGGTATAGGAAAAGAGTGTACGTCCTGTATCCGTCGGTGGTCAGAATGGCCTGGTAAGTGTTGGTCTGCAAAGAGATATATGGAAGAACTGAGACAAGGGGTTGCTGCTCATCTCTATTTCTAAGCCAAAGAGCCGGTGTTGTCCATAGACACCTCCAAGGTCGGCTGTTACCTTCCCGCCGGAGTGGTACCTATCGATCTACTCACATTTGCATACTTTCAAACTGCTAGTTAATAGTGAATGCAATTATTTATGTTTTAATGTGCATTTAATTTTAATTTTAACTTAAGTGTTTTCTAATTGGTTGCTGATCAAAGGCATTGAATAGTTGCCATATGTAAAGCTGCCTTGAGTCCTCTTCGGGATAGAGAAAGGCGGGATACAAATAGAGTAAATAAATAAAGAAATAAATATTTGGCTGGAGTTACACTTAAAAATGTACCTGTTCCAACATACAAACCCATTCAACTTGAGAACAAATCTACAGAACCTATCTTGTTTGTAACTTGGGGACTGCCTGTATACTCCTATTATCCGACGAATCGGATCAAGACTCTAGTGATGAGATGTATTGTGTTGTTACTGTTGTGTTAATATTTGTATACTATGTTCTTACGGTTTTAAATTGTACATCGTTAATGGACTTTTTATCCTTGTTGTAAACCGCGTTGAGTCGCCTGTCGGGCTGAGAAACTGCGGTATACAAATAAAATAAATAAATAAATAAATAAATAAATAAATAAATGCAGCTTAGAATCACATTGGGTTTTTTTAACTGCCGCATAACACTGTTGGCTCATGCTCAGTTTGAGGCGCACCAAGGGCCCTTCTACACAGGCCCTAAAATCTGAGAGAAACCAGGATAAAAGGGGAGGGGGTGGCTAGATGATGTTTGACAAAACTGCGCACTGAATTGCATCATCAGCTGCGAGACGTGAGTTAACAAGGCAAGCTTAAAATCTGAGATCAGCCAAAAAATCCACATATTTGCATCACGGTATATCCCTGCATTCAAGAAAAACACGTGACTTCAATGTGATACGCTGGTGTAAACTGCTCTGGCACATATGCGAATTTTAAAATCCCAACACAGCTGATGAGGGATGTAAACAAATAGAGCCATGGGCACACAGGTGGCTAAATGGAAGCACAATTGGAAAGCAATTCCCATGAGAACTCTCTCCGACTATTACTTTGTTATCATATTTATGAAATTAAACAGTGCTTGAATTTGCACAGTGGGCATCAGCATGACAGGCAAGTTACCCCAAAGGGAAGTGGGGTTCAAGAGGGAAAAAGTAAAGGCAGCAGGATGGTGTGGAGAGATGACAAGAAATCAGCTTGTGTGCACTTCTATATATCTGCATCAGCACTTATGCAGTCCAACACAATTAAAAAAATGTCTTTAAATAAAACTTCCGGCAGATGTCCCATGTCAATCTTGCAGATATCTCAAATCTGCTACAAACAAACCTGTCAAGATGCCAAGGGACAATTTGTGCTGTGTCTAGACTTGTTTTCAGGTACCACAATATTTTGCCCCACTTCTTTGTCCCAGATTATGAGGCTGCCTGGAATGGCCTTTAGCTCAGTTGCAAGCATCTAAATCCAGATCCATTAATTTTTCGGACACAAACTCACTCTGCTGCTTAGCTTCTGTGCCGGGTAGTGCTGTGCCTTCACCCAAGTGATCTTGAGCGTCCATCGGGCCGAATAGGACGACGCCAAATACTGCTGGACCATCGCTTCCACATCCCGGACCAGAGGATGTTTGGCAGAATTCTGTGTCACGTATTCCTGTGTGCAAGAGAAAAGTAACATTAAGGCTAGCAAAATTTCACACGCTGTAACACTAAACTAAAAGCTCAATTGCCATGACAAGTCCTTTGGAAGGGATACTTTTAGTTCATTTAGCTCAATGGGAAAAAGTGATGAAGAGCAGGAAGCTGGAAGACTCTTGCCCTTCCCAGTAGACTCAGGCAAAAGCAAACTGCTTCAGGATTTCCTAGCTTGCGTGTCTTCATTATTAATATATTACCCAAAGTACAAGTCCTTTGGAAGGGATATTTTTTGTTCACTAAACTCAGTGGAAGAAAAGGAGAGGCGGGGGAATCTTGCCCTTCCCAGTAGACTCAGGCAAAAGCAAACTGCTTCAGGATTTGCTAGCTTGCATGTCTTCATTATTAATAATATTGCACAAAGACACATTTGGCCAAACTACATCAGAATATAGCTACACTCTCAAAATCTTAAAATTCAAATTTTATCTATGTCTTTTTACAGAACTTGGAAAGGCCATTTTCTTTGGACCGAGCAATAGTGGGTCTTATTCTGGGTTGAACATAGAACTCAAAAATATTTGGATCTCAAAGAGAAGATGTTATCACACACATGACCTCCCCCAAAAAGATGTATAGTTTCCTAAAGAACATCAAGCGAGAATGAAATAAAGCGGTGCCCTCTCTTTTGCATGAAGCCTCCCAAGTCCTGCCACCTTTAGACCCTTGCTTCTCTCCTCTATCTTTCTATTTATACTAACTTATTCTATCTTATTCCTAAATGCACTAAATATAAGAAAGCACCTGAACTGCCTGACTCAAGCCATGGGCCATTACTCAAGAATGCTTCTCAGACTCAGGCAAAGAATCTAACAATATGTATTGTTGAAGGCTTTCATGGCCAGAATCACTGGGTTGTTGTAGGTTTTTTCGGGCTATATGGCCATGTTCTAGAGGCATTCTCTCCTGACGTTTCACCTGCATCTATGGCAAGCATCCTCAGAGGTAGTGAGGTCTGTTGGAACTAGGAAAATGGGTTTATATATCTGTGGAATGACCAGGGTGGGACAAAGGACTCTTGTCTGCTGGAGCTAGATGTGAATGTTTCAACTGACCACCTTGATTAGCATTTGATGGCCTGGCAGTGCCTGGGGCAATCTTTTGTTGAGAGGTGATTAGATGTGCCTGATTGTTTCCTCTTGTTTTGCTGTTGTAATTTTAGAGTTTTTTTAATACTGGTAGCCAGATTTTGTTCATTTTCATGGTTTCCTTCCTTTCTGTTGAAATTGTCCACATGCTTGTGGATTTCAATGGCTTCTCTGTGTAGTCTGACATGGTGGTTGTGAGAGTGGTCCAGCATTTCTGTGTTCTCAAATAATATGCTGTATCCAGGTTGGTTCATCAGGTGCTCTGCTATGGCTGACTTCTCTGGTTGAAGTAGTCTGCAGTGCCTTTCATGTTCCTTGACTCATATGATTATATTCTAAATTCCATATCAAAGACACCAAGGTTTTGGAAACTCGGGTTATCTAGAGGAATAATTAAAGCCACAAATCCTCTTTTATCAAAATGCGAAATATTGCAAAAAAAAAACAACAACAACAAGACAACAACAACTAAAGGCAACCCCATGCAGGAAACCATTGATGGCATACCTGGTAGAAGATGGTGCCACTTCCTTTGGAGAAGTCCGCATTGTCCCAAAACACGGCCACCATTGGTTTGGCCTCCCGGCCATTAAATCCTCCAAGTGGTGCATTAGGAGAGCTGGAAATGTCCGTCTCCGACACTGGGAAAATAATTTGCCCGTTGTCTGTAAACTATATTGAAAAAGAGATATAAATTAGGTGGATTCTGGGGGTTGCAGTCCAAAGTTTCACTTTTTCTACAAACATGGGTTCAACCAGATTGAGATGTACCATAAAGATGCATCTACACTGTAGCTATAATTCAGTTTGATACCACTTTAACTGCCATGGCTCAGTGGTATGGGATCATGGGAGCTCTAGCCTGATGAGGCACAGCATTCTCTGGCAGATAAGGCCAAAGACTTTGTCAAACTACAGCTCCCAGGATTCCATAGCATTGAGCCAAGGCAGTTAAAGTGGTGTCAAGCTGCATTAATTCTTCAATGTAGATGCACCCAAAGTTGGATATGGTAAATCTCCAGTTGTGCATTAATTGCACAATGCCGGCCTTGTGTTGCACAACTGAATGACCATCTCCGTGCATCCATGCACCCACCACATGCACAACTCTAACATTGCACAAAACTATCCTGCTATTTCCCATATTCCATCGCATTCAGCCATTGCAGTTAATGTGGTGTCCAACTACATTGGAAACAGACCCAACAACAACCAAAGCTTCTCACCTGCTCAGGCCCAACAGAATGGGGATTTCCTTTTGCAGCTTCATAGCATTGTATCTGAACAATCAAATAAATAATTTATGACATAATTTATGAAATAATTTATGACAGACTCACATAGAGGGAGTCGCGCAGTGTTAGTCCCAATGGGACTCCGATCTCAGGCTTGAACAGAGGAGAGTTAAAATTCAGCTTCCTTTCCACGTATTCTTTATCCTTGGCCATTGGTCCATATGGGAACAGGGACGCTGCACATAAAACGCAGGCAGGTTAATGACTGAAAATGAGGAACACTCTCAATTAAGAAGAATATACCTGTGGACACAAAGGGACCCATTTAGCTAAATAGCCATTGGTAAGACTTCACTTCCAAAATCCAGAACTGTTCTCAAATATTCTGACCCATTTCTAGAAGCTGCTCTAATTGGTAAATGTCTCCTATGTCTTGGGTCAGTAGTAATCATAAATGTGCATTTAATAATGTAATGTACTTAGACCTCATTTGCAGCAAGGCCAATGATGAGTGGAATGCTGGAAACTGTAGTACAAGAACACCTGGACCACTGTAACAGTCCTATCAAGGTCGGGCTATAGCACAGCTGGTAAATCACCACCAGCAGCAATAAGATCTACCAACCGAAAGGTTGCCAGTTCAAAGTCAGGGTCGGGGTAAGCACCCAACTGTCAGCCCAGCTTACTGTTTACCTAAGCAGTTTGAGAAAGTAGAGAAATTAGGTACCGCTAAAGAGTGGGGGAGGTATTTTACGACACCATAAAAGAAAAATACCAGAAAATGCTAGTGACCAAAAGGAAGGAGGAAGTCCTGATGGCTCTTCATCATTGTTAGGGATTTCTCTTCTTCATAAGAGGAATCCCTAACAATGACGAAGGAATCCCTAAAAATTCCTCTTCTTCAGAAGAGGAAGGGGAGCAGGGAAGAGCTCAGGAATTGGAAGAGGAATCAGATGATGAGGGCTTGCAAGTGCCCACATTTCTGGAGAGGCAAAAGGAGACAGAGCTCAGATGGCGTTCAGCTAGAATAGCTGCTAAAAACGCTGAGCTAATTGGGAGACACCCTAGCACCTCCTGTGTGGGGAATTCAGGGCTATAAATCAGAAGCAGGAGCAGTCAGCTTTCGCTGGTAACAGCGACTCTGATGCTGATGTTTTTGCTCCAATGGAACCTGCTTCAAGTCTGCTTCTGAGGATTTAGTTAATTGCCTATTGTCTGAACACCCTTCCTAGGGAGATCAGATCGGCTTCTTCACTCCTAGCATTTCAGAAGAATTTTAAGACATGGCTATTTGAGCAGGCATTTGTGAATACTGAGTAACGGGCATAAGAACGGAACAACTACATGACGGGACTGGACATTGTTTTAATGAGTATTTATTGAATTATGTTTTATTACAGTGTTATGATTTTATTGATGTTGACGTTTTATATTGTAATTGTGTTCTTGGTGGCATTGAATTTTGCCTTGTAAACCACCTCGAGTCACCAGAAGGCTAAGAGGGGCAATATGCAAATATATTTAATTAATTAATTAATGTAAGACTGCTGATTCTTTTGGGACTTTATAAGAGACTTTAATTTTGTGTCTGCATTAAGACTTCCTTGCTTTCGTTTGCATTTTTCAACTACCTTTGATGATCCTTTGTGTTTGCTGAAGTAAAGCATTTTTCTTTTACTTTCAACATTGTATTAAGGCTGTTTTTGAAGGGCAAATCAGGGCAGTCATAGAGGATGGAGCAACAGCACCTCCCTGTGGCTGGATTTGAGCACAACCTCCAAAGGTGCCGAAAGCTGGATGTCGAACCAACATACCTTCTTTCTATCTGTTCTGATCTGTCTGTCCAAACGGCATTGAATGTTTGTCATGTATGTGTACTGTGATCTGCCCCGAGTCCTCTTGGGGAGATAGTGGCAGAATATAAATAAAGTGTTATTATTGTTATATTATTATTAAATATGTATATACTGTAGTTACTGGTATTATATGGCATCTGTTTAATTGCCTATAAAAGCATCGCTGCCATAGTCAAGAGGAGTGGAAAGGACCTCAAATGTACCACTAGCAAGACTTGAGCATATAGACCCATAAATAAATCAAAACTGCATGTAGATTCCCTGCCAACCAACCTGAAAGTGAAGCTGCAGGGACAGGGTTCAGTGTGGCCGACCTGTCATTCGCAGTCATTGTTATTTTGGAATTTGAGGAATTTGAATTGGGTTTGTTGTCTGGTTTCTTGCTGTCTTCTTTCTCGTCCGGCTTTTTGCTGTCTTCTTTGTCTGACTTTTTGGCATCTTTTTTGTCCGACTTTTTGCTGTCTTTATCTAACTTTTTGATGTCTTTTTTATCTGACATTTTGCTATCGTCTTCTTCTGATGTTTTGCTGTCTTTATCTGACTTTTTGCTGTCTTCTTTATCTACCTTTTTGCTGTCTTCTTTCTTTCCTGATGTTTTGCTCTCTCCTCCCTTTTCAGGGAGCTTGCCCTCTTCCTTCTTCTTGGGCGTCATGCTGGAAGGTTTTGTGGATTTTGTAGAGCCCAGGCCAACTCCTGATCCTACAAGTGAGGGGTCTGATTTACTAGTAGAAGATGCTTTGGTTCCACCAGATGTATCTTTGCTGACCACCGCAGTTGCTTCCTTCTGAACAGAAGAATCAGGCAACAATGGGGCGCTGGAGCCACTCATAGATCCTGACTTTGTGGTGTCTGAACCTAAAGAGGAAGATGCAGATGGCTTTCCAGAAAGTATGTCTCCGGGACCTTCTGGGACACCAGCCTTGGAAGACTGAGAAGACATCCCAGCATTGACCTCAGGTCCTGATTCCACAGCAGGCAATGGTGACACTGTTGCTGGACACAACGTTGTGCCAGAGTGGGAAGGTTGAGCTTCATTGGATGCTGTTTTGATTATTCCCTTCTCAGATGCTGAAACAGTATCACCTCTCCCTTCAGAAGTTGTGGGGGATACGTCTTTGGTGTTCCCCACAGATGCTTCATCAGAAGAGCTTGCAAGTCCATTGAGTGAGGGTCCAGCATCTTGGATGCCCAAATCTGTGGGGGCAGAGTCCACTTCACCTGGTTCTTTGCCAATCAATACAGCCTCCCCTGCTTGATCCTGAGAAGATGGTTCTCCAGCTACATTTCCAGTGTTTTCAGAATCGTAGGATCCGGGCGGTTGGGTATCACTAGAAGACAATGCAGTTGAAGGAGAGGATGCCATTCCTAATTCTTGATCTGTGGCCATCTTTGTGCCTCCAGATTCGGATGATTGAAGAGAAGTCCCAATGCTATTGGATGCCCCTGTGTCACTTCCCATGACTCCTGCAAGACTCTCCGTATCTACTTCTGTCATTGGTGAGGGTGTCAGGGATGAATCTCTAATTCCAGGGATCTGGCCAGGTGTTCCTTGGGTGGCTACAGCCTCATCAGGAGATGTGGAACCAGAAAGCAAGTTTTCTCCTGGAGCTTTGTTGACCACTGCTGTCACAGACCCATCACCAGCAGGGGAGGACTGACTGAAAGGTTCTCCATCATCCATTGGCCCAGGTGTCTCTCCCAGATTTACTATACTTTCTGGATTCTGGCCTGTCTCAGAAGAAGAAGTGGATTTGGTACCCATTGAATCCAAGCCAGCAGCAGGATTAGTTTTTTCCTCACTAAGTCCTCCAGAGACCTCTTCACCAGCAGATGTCCTAAGCGACTCTGATCCTATATCTGATGGAGACAAAGATAGTTCCTTGCCATTTGTGTTGGAAGTGTCTTCAGGTTCTTCTTCCTCCCCAGAAGCTGAAGTTCCAGCTGCTGGTGCACCAGATGCCTGTGATTCCACGTTATTGATCAGCTCTTCGTCTGGAGATGTTCCAGGTGTCTTTGTGGCTGATGAATCTGAAGGTATTATGTCCTCCTCCCTTGCCGCAGAAGAGCTTCCCCACTGTTCCACTTCCTCAGAAGCCACTGGCTCTGTTGCTGTTGCTTCCGCAGCATCTGGAGATGTCTGAGATCCTACAGAACTTCCCAACTCCAAAACAGAATCTCCAACTTCTTCTTTGGAAAGAGAAGTTAGTGGTGACCTTGTGGCAGAAACATCTCCTGATTCTTCTCCTGCTTCAGTACCTGCTCTATCTGCATATTCTGAAGGCAGCTGAGCTTCTTCACTAGCTGATGCTGGTGAACCAGATGTTGATAAACCATCATTTTGTATGCCATCAGGAGAAGAAGAGCCTGGCTGTGCCTCTGTGCCTAGTAGAGTCAAGGATGATTCCTTCCCATTTGTGCTGGAAGAGATGCTTGGTTGTTCTGGCTCTGCACCATCCAGAGATGGTTGAGATCCTCCATCATTTCCTGACCCTTCACTGGCAGAGTCCATCCCTTCTACAGATGGAGAGGATGATTCTGCAGACAAAGTCCCACTCAGACTAGAGGAGCCATCTGATATTTTTACTCCACCAGAATCTCCAGGACCTTCTGTTGCACCATTGAGAGATTGCTGAGATCCTTTGGCATCTGCAGACACAGAGGGGGGCACTTCTTCCTCTTCAGCAGACAGGGAGAGCTTTCCATTCCCAGCTCCTCCTGATGTGTCTTCAGCTCCAGATGTTCCAGGTAACTCTGTGGAGGATAATTCTGAAGGTGTTTCATCCTCATTTACAGGAGAAGAGCCTTCCCATTGTTCCACCTCATCAAAAGCTCCAAGACCTGCAACTGTGTCACTACTGGTAATACCATCTGAGGATGGCTGAGATTCCACTGCTGTCCCAGAGAAGGAAGTTTCCACTCCTTCAGTGGAAGATGGTTTCATTCCACTGATAACAGAAATGTCTTTGGGCTCTGTTTCTGCCTCAGAAGTTGACTTTGGTCCCATTTCCCATGTGTCATCTGGGGACAACTGAGGTCCCTCATTCTCTCCCACCAGTGAAGCATTCATTTCTACTCCATCAGAGGCCTCTTGTGACATTGTGTCTGATGGAGCCATAGATGTTTCCTCTTCCTTCACTTTGGAAGATTCTTCTGATTGTTCTGCCCCCTCAGGAGCTGCATCATCTGGAGACAGTGTAGGTTCCTCGCCATCTTCCAAGCTAGAGCCAGCACTTCCCAGCCTTTCAGTGGGGGGCAACACCTTTTGTGACTCTGCAGATGATGGATCCAAAGTTGCTACCTTCCCATCCACACTGGAACTATCTTCCAGTTCTTGGCTTGCCCCTTCTGAAGCTGTATTATCTGGAGATTGTTGAGGTTGTTCATCATCTTCCAAGTTGGAGCCAGCACTTCCCAGGCCTTCAGTGGTGGGCAAGGCAGTTTGTGATTTTGTGGTTGATGGATCCAGAGATACTTCCTTCCCAGCCTCACTAGACGCTACAGGCTCAGATTTTAGTGCATTATCTGGAGATGGCTGGTTGGGATCTGGAATTTGAAGGAGGCCTGAACTGGAAGGAGAATCTTCTCCTGAGGCTACACTTGTTGCAGATGTCTCTCCATCCTTTGCTAAAGAAGCTGGAGCAGAAGAGAATTCTTCTCCTGAGTATGAGTTGGTTCCAGATGCCTCTCCTTCCTCCGAAAGGGGTTGATCTGACATTGCTCCACTAGCCAAAGCTTCTGATTGTCCAGCAGGCAAATCTGCTTCTCCAGATAATTCTGTATCTGAGGTGTCAGCTGTTGTCTGGCTCTCACCACTGTTTGTCACAGCCCCTTCATTTGCCAGCAGGCCTGTGTTGTCTTCTCCACTCTTGTTATCTCCTGGAACTTCACTTCCTGAAGAAGAACCAACATCTCCCAAAGGTGGGCTTGGGGAGTCTTCACCTTCAACCTCTGAAGTGAAAGATTCAGAAGATGAACCATCAAGAAGTGTAGGAGATGTTTCCTCTGATAGTCCTCCATCTTTTGTTGAGGACCCACTGCCTGCAATAAAAGTAGAAAAGTCTCCAGAACCATCATCTGTTATATCTGAAAAGCGTTGTTCATTAGTTGCCATTCCCTTTTCTGAAGTTGGTGCTAGCTCTGAGGATGGAGTATTGATTTCCTCTGGACTGTTGCTCTCTGAAATAGCCCCCTTATTAGCTTCTGAAGCAGCTCCTACCATCACATCTCCAGAGGGCACAGTTTCTCCACTCGTTCCAGAAAATGTTGCTCCATCAGTAGCTGATCCAGTGTCTGTGGCAGAAGATACTTCCTCCTCAACAGAGCCTTTGGGTTCCTCAGACACATCAGTGGCTTCCAAGTCTGCTTGCATGTTGTCCTCTGGTTGGGAAGCATCTGGAGATTCAGGCGAGCTACTTGATGGAGCTTTTGTTGAAGCAGACTCCGAAGCCACTGCATTCTCTACAGGTGATGGACTTGAAGATTCTCCATCCTCCAAGGACCCTGAACCTCCTACAGGCAGTGGGGTTCCTTCTGTTGAGTCCAGCTCACCATCAGATGGTGGGGAATCTGTCCTGCTCTCTCCTTCCTCATTAGAGGCTGATACAGAAGTAGCACCTGGGTCTGGAACTGCTGTGCTCTCATCAGAAAGAGGACCTCCATTTCCAGAGTTTTCTTCTCCTTGCCCTTCAGAAGAAACACCACTTTTTGATGTGGTGAAGACTGTTTCTCCAGCTGCTTCTTGATCATTGACTGCTGCTTCGTCCTCTGGAGCAGAAGGAGAAGTTGCCTCCATGTCCTTCAAACCTTCTAGATCCTCTCCTGCCACCTCAGCGGAATTACTTGGTGTCATCTCTGAAGAGAAAGGAGTAATTTCACTCTGAATAGCAGCACCATCAGATGTGGCAGATTGCTCATTTCCTGCCAGTTCTGAACTGGTTGTTTCCTCTCCAGGCTTCATGGGTGAGGCTGTTCCACTTCCAAGTCCTACAGAATCATCTCCCTTCGGCACTTCGGTTGCTGAAATGCCTTCCTCTGGTATCTCGGTTCCCTCTTCTTGCTGAGGAGATGCCAGGGTGAAAGGTATTTCATTGCTATTTGGTGTTCCAGAGCCTTCCTCTGTTTCTTCTTTAGTTACAGAAACTGTCTGCATCTCATCATCTTCTGGCAACAGAGAAGAGTAACCTGGAGGCATGGAAAGCCCAATTGGAGGAGCTGGTGTTGCATCAGAACCCAGATCTGAAGGTCTTGAAGAAAGGTCATTTGGATAGGGCACAGTGGGAAGAAGGTCTGCTGTACCATCTGCCAGAGGGGAATTAGATGCTTCTGCACCCTTAAGGTCTTCTGATTCTTCAGGAGTTACACCAGTTGGGCTTTCTGGTCCCATCTCTGGTTCTTCCCAGGATGGAATGATGGTTGGCTCTGCCTCACTGCCAAGCACTGGGACTGAAGTGGAGGCATCTGAGTCACCCCTTCCATCTGCAATGGTTGATTCGGCACCTGGGTTGTCCTCACTGCTGGAAGATGGTTGACTGGAAACCGTGGCATTTTCGCTCAACTCTGAGGACCCAACAGGTATGTCCCTTGGTGGCAGCAAATCCAGAGGAGGCAATGAGGGTGATGGCTCTTCTTCTGCAGTGCCATCTCCTGAGGTTGGTGGAACCAAGTGTTCATCGTTGGCAGGAGTTACTTCTGGTTCTTCCATGGGTTGTTCTTCTGGGAAAGGAGCATGTGGGGTGGACAATGGAGCCACTGCCTCACTGTTGGCATCTGGGAAAGCTTGTGGTGTTTCTTCTTCCTCACCTGGAGTATCTTTCCATGAAGTAAGCGTTGGGTTTAGTTCACTATCTTTACTTGTTTCTCCGGTGGTGGCGTCCATGGTCTTCTCGCCCAAACCATCTTCATTGGAAGATGCGGGGACAAATGAAGAATCAGTTACAGCAGCATCGAGATCTGATAGAAGTTCTGTAGTTTCTGGCCCATCATACGATAAGGAAGAGGGAAGTACTTCCACAGAGCCTGGAATACGTGGAGTGGTTTCAACTGTTCCCTTTTCTGAAGATGTCTTTGAAGAATTTCCTTTGGCTGAGGCTTCCTTTTCCATAACAGGGACCTCTGCGGCCCCTTCTATCTCTTCTCCTGGTGGTGGGATTTCAACTTGGTTGGTCGCCTTAGTAGCAGAATCAACCTTGGAGGCCAACCCAGAATTCTGCATTTCTCCTTCTGGAGGATTTGAGGTGTTCTCCTCCGTCATGGCACCTGGGTTTTCTTCAGCAGCTGAAGTTGGGACTGTGCTTTGAATCGTGAATGGCCCCTCTGTGGTGCTTGCCATGGTGGGATCAAAATAGTCACTGCTGGTGCCCCAGGATAGGAGGTAGTCGTCCGTGAAGCCATCTGCTTCTGTGTCTGGCCAGTCGGTGGCAACGGGAATGGCTGCCGTCAACCCAGGCTCTGCTGAAAGGAAGCAACAAAGCATCATTAAGTTTCCTCATTCACATCAAGTAGCTTTCTAAAATCATATCCCTGCAAATGACATGGATATCTATGAAAACTCATACTGAGATACATCAGTTGGTCTCATAGAAGCTGTGATGGTCACATAGATTCAAAAGCAATAGCTCCTCACTGAAATCTCCATTCACATGGGCAAAACCAGACCTCCCTCCTTATCTCTATCTCACATTTCCTTCCTTCCTTCCTTCCTTCTCTCCCTCTCTCTTCTCCCTCCCTCCATCCTTCTTTTTCCTTCCTCCTTCCATCCCTTCCTTCCACTCTTCCTCCTTCCCTCCCCTTCCTTCCTTCTATCCTTCCCTTCCACTCGTTCATACTTCATGGGCAAACTTTGCCTGATCTACACTGGGTTGTTGTAGGTTTTTTCGGGCTATATGGCCATGGTCTAGAGGCATTCTCTCCTGACGTTTTACCTGCATCTATGGCAAGCATCCTCAGAGGTAGTGAGGTCTGTTGGAACTAGGAAAGGGGGTTTATATATCTGTGGAATGACCAGGGTGGGACAAAGGACTCTTGTCTGCTGGAGCTAGGTGTGAATGTTTCAACTGACCACCTTGATTAGCATTTGATGGCCTGGCAGTGCCTGGGCAATCTTTTGTTGAGAGGTGATTAGATGTCCCTGATTGTTTCCTCTCTGTTGTTTTGCTGTTGTAATTTTTTAATACTGGTAGCTAGATTTTGTTCATTTTCATCGTTTCCTCCTTTCTGTTGAAATTGTCCACATGCTTGTGGATTTCAATGGCTTCTCTGTGTAGCCTGAAATGGTGGTTGTGAGAGTGGTCCAGCATTTCTGTGTTTTCAAATAATATGCTGTGTCCAGGTTGGTTCATCAGAGGCTGATTTCTCTGGTTGGAGTAGTCTGCATGCCTTTCATGTTCCTTGATTCGTGTTTGGACATCTAATCACCTCTCAACAAAAGATTGTTCCAGGCATTGTCAGGCAATCAAATGCTAATGCCTCTAGAACAGTGGTTCTCAACCTGGGGTCCCCAGATGTTTTTGGCCTACAACTCCCAGAAATCCCAGCCAGTTTACCAACTGTTAGGGATTTCTGGGAGTTGTAGGCCAAAAACATCTGGGGACCCCAGGTTGAGAACCACTGCTCTAGAACTTGGCCATATAGCCTGAAAAAACCTACAACAACCCAGAAATCTGTGAGTTGTAGTTTGACAATATACTCTAAACACCTTCGCAGAAGCATACGAGAAGCTCGGCCTCACTGAACATCGAGAAAACCAAAGTGCTCTTCCAGCAGTCACCAGCCAACCCCTCTCCAATGCCAGAAATACAGCTTAATGGTGTAACATTAGAAAATGTTGACCATTTCCGCTCCCTTTGGCAGCCACCTCTCCACCAAAGTCAACATTGACACTGAAATACAACATTGCCTGAGCTCTGCGAGTGCAGCTTTTTTCCGAATGAAGCAGAGAGTGTTTGAGGACCGGAATATCCGTAGGAAGACCAAGGGGCTTGTTTATAAAACCATTGTCCTCGCAACCCTGCTATACGTCTGCGAAACGTGGACTGTCTACAGACATCACATGCAACTCCTGAAATAATTACATCAGCACTGCCTCTGAAAAATCCTGCAAATGCCAGTGTGCTGGAAGAAGCAAAGACCACCAGCACTGAAGCGATGCTCCTCCACCATCAACTTCGCTGGACTGGCCACCTTGTCTGAATGCCTGATCATTGTCTCCCAAAGCAGTTACTCTACTCCGAACTCAAGAATGGAAAACGGAAGTTTGCTGGACAGGAAAAGAGATTTAAAGATGGGCTTAAAGCCAACCTCAAAAACGGTGGCATAGACACAGAGAACTGGGAAGCCCTGGCCCTTGAGCGCTCTAACTGGAGGTCAGCTGTGACCAGCAGTGCTGCAGAATTCAAAGAGGCAGAAATGGAGGGCAAAAGGGAGAAACGTGCCAAGAGGAAGGCACGTCGAACCAACCCTGACCAGGACTGCCTTTCATCTGGAAACCGATGTCCTCACTGCGGGAGAACATGCGGATCAAGAATAGGGCTCCACAGCCACCTACGGACACACCGCCAAGACATCTCATCTGGAAGACAATCATCCTCGAGCTACGAGGGATCACCTAAATAAGTAAGGCTGCAATTTGTTCTGATCAATCATGAGAGTGAGGTTTCCATTGAGATACAAGGCTTGGGGATATGATGCTTGACTTGAAAACGTCCTTCCACCTTTCCCCAACTTCAGAGCCATCGGTTCTGTTGAGTTGTTGAGTTGCAATTCCCACTATCCCCAGTCCGCATGGCAGATAATCAAAAGTGATGGGAATTGCCAATCAATAACATCTGAGGAAGAGCCCCCAGTGGCGCAGTGGGTTAAAGCGCTGAGCTGCTGAGCTTGTTGACCAAAAGGTTGAACTTGCAGGTTCGAATCTGAGGAGTGGCGTAAGCTCACGCTGTCAGCCCCAGCTTCTGCTAACCTAGCAGTTCAAAAACATGCAAATGTGAGTAGATCAATAGGTACCACTCCGGCGGGAAGGTAACGGTGCTCCATGCAGTCATGCTGGCCACATGACCTTGGAGGTGTCTACAGACAACGCCTGCTCTTCGGCTTAGAAATGGAGATGAGCACCAACCCCCAGAGTCGGATACGACTGGACTTAACGTCAGGGGAAAACCTTTATCTACCTTTACCTAACATCTGGGGACCCAAACTGGGTATAAATGAAATAGTATCAACCACTATGCAAAATAATTATAATTGGTCCTCTGTATCCACGGATTCTCCATCCATGGATTCAATGACCCTTTGAAGGTAACCACAAGGCTGATGGGGCTCTCAATACGAAGGGAATAAAGATAGAAAAAGTCAAAGCACAGAATGAGCTCAGGCTTGCTAAAGGGTTTTAAAACAACTTTAAAGGGCTGTTTGGATTATGTTCACAGCAAAAAGAAGAACAAGGAAATGATAGGACTGCTGCATGCAGGCGATGGAGAAATGCCATTAAGGGACAAAGAAAAGGCAGAACTGTTCAACGCTTTCTTTGCCTCAGTCTTTTATCTCCCAAAATGTAAACAGGGCTCAACTTGGGGAGGATAGACCAGAGCAGTGGTTCTCAACCTTCCTAATACCGTGACCCCTTAATACAGTCCCCCATGTTGTGACCCCCAACCATAACATTGTTTTTGTTGCTACTTCATAACGGTCATTTTACTACTGTTCTAAATCATAATGTAAATATCAGATATGCAAGATGTATTTTCATTCACTGGACCAAACTGGGCACAAATACCCAATGCAACCACATATAAATGCTAGTGGGGTTGGGGGAGGATTGATTTTGTAATTTGGGAGTTGTAGTTGCTGAGATTTATAGTTCACCTATAATCAAAGAGCATTCTGAACTGCACCAGCGATGGATTTGAACCTAATTTGCCACACAGAACTCTCATGACCAACAGAAAACACTGGAAGGGTTTGGTGGGTATTGACCTTGAGTTTGGGAGTTGTAGTTCACCTCTATCCAGAGAGCACTGTGGACTCACGCAATGGTGGATCTGGACCAAACTTGGCACCAATAGTCAATATGCACATATGTGAACACTGGTGGAGCCTGGGGAAAATAGACCTTGACTTTTGGGAGTTGTAGTTGCTGGGATTTATAGTTCATTACAATCAAAGAACATTCTGAACTCCACCAACGATAGAATTGGCTCAAACTTCCCACATGGAATCCCAATGACCATCAGAAAATAGTGTTTTCTGATGGTCTTTGGCGACCCCTCTGACACCCCTTTGCGACCCCCTCAGGGGTCCCGACCCCTAGGTTGAGAAACACTGGACCAGAGAATGCAGGAAGGGAAAGCCAGTGCAAAACAGGTAAAGAGGAATCACAGGAATCCCTGGCTACTCTAAATGAGTTCAAGTCTCCAGGGCCACATGAACGGGATATAAGGACATTAAAAGAACTGGGAGAAACCATTTCAGAACCATCTTTGAGAACTCCTGGAGAACAGGAGAAGTTTGGGCAGGCTGGAGGAAAACAAATGCCATCATTTTACCCTTATTATTATTTCCAAAGTGTACGCATTACAACATAACTCTTGATATATAAAGCCACCAATTAACAGTAGCCATTTTGCACTTTCTAATAACAGTAAATCAAATGAAAGGCACTGCGGACTACTTCAACCAGAGAAGTCAGCCATAGCAGAGCACCTGATGAACCAACCTGGACACAGCTTATTATTTGAGAACACAGAAATGCTGGATCACTCCAACAACCACCATCAGACTATACAGAGAAGCCATTGAAATCCACAAGCATGTGACAATTTCAACAGAAAGGAGGAGACCATGAAAATGAACAAAATCTGGCTACCAGTATTAAAGAACTCTAAAATTAGAACAGCAACAGAGAGGAAACAAACAAGGACATCTAATCACCTCTCAACAAAGGATTGCTCCAGGCACTGCCAGGCAATCAAATGCTAATCAAGGTGGTCAGTTGAAACATTCACACCTAGCTCCAGCAGACAAGAGTCCTTTGTCCCACCCTGGTCATTCCACAGATATATAAACCCTTCCTAGTTCCAACAGACCTCACTACCTCTGAGGATGCTTGCCATAGATGCAGGCGAAACGTCAGAAGAGAATGCCTCTAGAACATGGCCATATAGCCCAAAAAAACCTACAACAACCCACCTTTGAATACTTTCTATAAATTTTACATTATATATATCTATATATCTATATCTATATATAATATTTACTTTATGTAAATAAACTGGCAGCCAGATTTTGTTCATTTTCATGGTTTCCTCCTTTCTGTTGAAATTGTCCACATGCTTGTGTATTTCAGTGGCTTCTCTGTGTAGTCTGACATGGTGGTTGTTGGTGTGGTCCAGCATTTCTGTGTTCTCAAATAATCTGCTGTGTCCAGTATTAAAAAACTCTAAAATTTAGAACAGTACAACAACAGAGAGGAACAAACAAGGACATCTAATCACCTCTCAACAAAAGATTGCTCCAGGCACTGCCAGGCAATCAAATGCTAATCAAGATGGTCAGTTGAAACATTCACACCTAGCTCCAGCAGACAAGACTCCTTTGTCCCACCCTGGTCATTCCACAGATATATGAACCCATTTTCCTAGTTCCAACAGACCTCACAACCTCTGAGGATGCTTGCCATAGATGCAGGCAAAACGTCAGGAGAGAATGCCTCTAGACCATGGCCATATAGCCCGAAAAAACCTACAACAACCCACCTTTGAAGGAGAGAACTATTATGGACCAGTCTTTATTTCATTAGGGGTCAAGTTAGTTTATCAAATTCTGCAAAGTTTAGCAGAATGGGGTTGGGCTGGATGGCCCATGAGGTCTCTTCCAACTCTAGGATTCTGATTCCATGATGCTCAATCTTTGTTGGGGAAGATAATAAAATCATCAAAGTGGAAAGGTCCCCCAAAGGCAGGCATGGGCAAACTTCGGCCCTCCAGGTGTTTTGGACTCCAACTTCCACAATTTCCAAAGTCCAAAACACCTGGAGGGCCGAAGTTTGCCCATGCCTGCCTTTGGGGGACCTTTCCACTTTGATGATTTTATTATCTTCCCCAACAAAGGCCATCCAGTCCAACCCCCTTCTCTGCCAGGCAAGAACATACAACCAAAGCCCTCCCGACAGATGGCCATCCAGCCTCTGCTTCCAAACCACCAGGGAAGGAGACTCCAATAGACTCCCAAGCAGCCGTGTCGTCCATTGTTGACCAGCTCTGACTCTTAGGCTGTTTTTAATAATGTTTAGGAATTTGAACTCATTGCTCCATATCTGGAGTTGCAGGAAGCAAACTTGCTCCTTCCTCAATATGACCTCCTTCCAAATATTTAAACAGGGCTTTCACGTCACCTTTCGACCTTCTCTTCTCCAAACTAAATATACTCAGCTTCCTAAGCTTCTTCTCAGATGGATTCATAGTTTCCAGACCTTTGACCATTTTCGTTGCTCTGCTATTCCAGGTGAGGCTCTATTATTCCAGGTAAAGAGGTCTGATCAAAGTGCAATGGAGGTTTGTGTGTGTGTGTCGGAAGCAACTTGAGAAACTGCAAGTCGCTTCTGGTGTGAGAGAATTGGCCATCTGCAAGGACATTGCACAGTGGACATCTCAATGTTTTGATGTTTTACCATACTTGTGGGTGGCTTCTCTCATGTTCTCGCACAGGGAGCTGGAGCTGACAGAAGGAGCTCAACCCGCTCGTCCCGGATTCAAACTGCTGACCAACACTGGCACAAGGGATTGCCTGAATGTTTTGATTTTTTACCATCCTTATGGGAGGCTTCTCTCATGTCCCTGCAAGGAGAACTGGAGCTGACAGAAGGAGCTCAACCCTCTCTCCCCGGATTCGAACTGCTGACCTGTTGGTCAGCGGTTCTGCCAGCACAAGGGCTTAACCCATGGCGGCACCGGGGGCTCCAGAAGAGATTGGGACCATACGACTTCCCTTGATCGAGAAACTATATACTCCTATTGATGCAGCCTGGAATCACATTGGCTTTTTGTGCTGCTGCATGACAGTCTTGGCTCATTGTATGGCAAGAATATGCTCTTTGTCGAAGGTTTTCATGGCTGGAATCACTAGGTTCTTGTGGGTTTTTTCGGGCTATAGGGCCATGTTCTAGAGGCATTTCTCCTGACGTTTCGCCTGCATCTATGGCAAGCATCCTCAGTGAGGTCACTACCTCTGAGGATGCTTGCCATAGATGCAGGTGAAACGTCAGGAGAAATGCCTCTAGAACATGGCCCTATAGCCCGAAAAAACCCACAAGAACCTAATATGCTCTTTTCTGTAGCAAACCATGCTATACACCAGGCATGGGCCCTCCAGGTGTTTTGGTGTCCCTTGATCAAGACACTATATACTCCTATTGATGCGGCCTGCAGTCGCATTGGCTTTTTGTGCTGCCGCATGACACTCTTGGCTCATTGTATGGCACTTCAGTCCTGTAACTTGACACAAGACTTTAATATCTTAGTTGAAACAAAGTAATGTTTATTTATGAATTCTTGTGCACATAAAGCATATTTGTTACACAGTACTTTACTTCAGTTCCACTTGGATATTATCACCTCTGTCTTTTCTGTAGCAAACTATGCTATACACCAAGCACGGGCAAACTTGAGCCCTCCAGGTGTTTTGGTGTCCTTTGATCGAGGCACTATATACTCCTATTGATGCGGCCTGCAATCGCATTGGCTTTTTGTGCTGCCGCATGACACTCTTGGCTCATTGTATGACACTTCAGTCCTGTAACTTGTGTCATTGTACGACACTTCAGTCCTGTAACTTGACACAAGACTTTAATATCTTAGTTGAAACAAAGTAATGTTTATTTATGAATTCTTGTGCACATAAAGCATATTTGTTACACAGTACTTTACTTCAGTTCCACTTGGATATTATTACCTATGTCTTTTATGTAGCAAACCATGCTATACACCAGGCATGGGCAAACTTCAGCCCTCCAGGTGTTTTGGACTTTCAACTCCCACAATTCCTAACAGCTACCGGCTGTTAGGAATTGTGGGAGTTGGAATCCAAAACACCTGGAGGGCTGAAGTTTGCCCATGCTTGGTATAGATGCACCTATTAATTGACCAAAAAGTTTCTGGAAAATTAATATAATCCAAACACATAACAAAAGAAGGCAACGTACCACACAACAGGCAAACCCAGAGGCCCAGGAGGGTCCAGAGCATGTCTTTCTGCGTCTCCATCCACCGGTGAGTCGAATTTGATTTAGACAGGAATGATAAAACTGGGTGGAAGTCCTTTGGCAGGACTTAGTGGACCGTCTCTCAGCAATTTTCGGGTATTTATAGGCAACCTGGGCAAAGTGAGTGGGCTGTTTTGGTGGCTAGAACCCCTCCCCTCCTCCCGCCTTGATTTCTGGAAGCAAATGAAAAATCCAGGTGGAGTCCACCCGCCCATCTCTTCCAACCTGCTTATTTCTTGCTAATGGACATACACACACACACATAAAGCTGGAGCAAACCAGGTATGCTTTGCTAAAAGTCCCTGCAAGGGAAAGAACACGCAGTGCAAAATCAAAAAGGCCAGAACATGGCTTTTCTGCATTGCACACCTGCTGACTTTTCATAGGTAGGGTCCTCATATGCCAGTGTTTCTCAACCTTCTGAATGCCACGGCCCCTTAATACAGTTCCTCATGTTGTGGTGACCCCCAACCATAACATTATTTTTGTTGCTAATTCATAACTCTCCTTTTGCTACTGTCATGAATCGTAATGTAAATATCTGATGTGCAGGATGAATTTTCATTCACTGGACCAAACTGGGCACAAATATCTAATACGCCCAAATTTGAATACTGGTGTGTTTTGGGATATTGTCATTTGGGAGTTGTCGTTGCTGGGATTTATAGTTCTACTATAATCAAATAGCATTATGAACTCCACCAATGATGGCATTGGCACACAGAACTCCCATGACGTACAGAAAAATACTGGAAGGATTTGGTCAGCACTGACCTTGCGTTTTGGAGTTGTAGTTCACCTACGTCCAGAGAGCACTGTGGATTCAAACAGTGATGGATCTGGACCACCCTTGGCACAAATATGCAATTTCTCCAATTGTGAAGACTGGTGGAGTTTGGGGAAAATAGAGCTTGTCATTTGGGAGTTGTAGTTGCTGGGATTTATAGTTCACCTACAGTCAAAGAACATTCTGAACTCCACCAACGATGGAATTGAACCAAACTCGGCATACAGAACTTCCATGCCCGATAGAAAATACTGGAAGGATGTGGTGGGCATTGGCCTTGAGTTTTGGAGTTATAGTTCATCTACGTCCAGACACCACTGTGGAATCAATCAATGATGGATCTGGACCACACTTGGCGTGTGAACACAGGTGCGGTTTGGAGAAAATAGACCTTGACATTTGGGAGTTGTAGTTGCTGGGATTTATAGTCAACCTACAATCAAAGAGCGTTGTGAACTCCACCAACGATAGAATTGGGCCAAACGTGGCTCACAGAACCCCCATGAACCAAGGGTTTGGTGGGCATTGACCTTGTGTTTTGGAGTGTTAGTTCACCTACATCCAGAGAGCAGGCGAAGGGCTTTTGGTGGGAGGATTCACCGTTCGTTTCCAAAAAGGAAGAGAAGGACAGGCAGAGAGATCTTTAGCCTTCTCTGCCAAAGGGGTTCCTAAGACCATAAGAAATATGTGTTTTCTGATGGTCTTTGATGACCCCTCTGAAGCCCCCTTGTGACCCCCTCAGGAGTCCCGACCTCTAGGTTGAGAAACAATGGTCTATGTAAATGGGGCCTAGGAGTCTTAATAGTCCTATGAACATCAGTCAGCAGTGTAATGCGTCAGCTTAAAAAGCCAATATGATTCTAGGCTCCATTGATAGGAGTCCAAAGTCGAGATGGAGGAAAGTCATAATGCCACTCTCTTCTTCTTTGGTCAGACCTGGAATGATGTAGTGTCTAGTCTTAGTCTCCAATGGTTACCATCTCACCATCCTCCCTTAAATCCATCTCTATAATGAAACTCAAAATATGTACGTTTGTGGGCAACAGATTTCCAAGACAGCTCCAGCTTCTGGAGAGCACTACGACTCCCATTGATGATCTGGACCACATTTGGCACACATACCCAACATGCCCAGCTTTGAATTCCAGCGGGAGTTTGAGAAGGGGGATTATTCTTTAATTTTGGGAATTGTAGTTCACCCTCATCCTGTATCAAACGGAAGATGGATCTGGACCAAACTTGGCACACATCCCCAGCATGCCCAACTTTGAATCCTGGTAGGGTTGCAGGTAATTGACCTTGGATACTGTGAGTTATAGTTCACCCACATCCTTATGCATTTTCTAATGGAAGCATTCATAAAACCTCAAAACAAACAAATATTTGTCAATACAAAATTCCTAACCCGGCCAAGTCTGACTTGGCCATGGTAGTCAACACTCTTGTTACATCCCATATAGACTACTGCAATGCTCTCTACGTGGGGTTGCCTTTGAAGACTGTCCGGAAGCTTCAACTGGTCCAACGAACAGGAGCCAGATTGCTAACTGGAGCAGCTCTCAGGGAGAATACAACTCCCTTGTTGCGCCAGCTCCACTGGCTGCCAGTTTGCTACCGGGCACAATTCAAAGTGCTAGCTTTAGCCTATAAAGTCCATAATGGTTCTGGCCCAATTTACCTGTCCGAACGAATCTCCCCTTATGAACCTGCAAGGACTTTACAATCATCTGGAGAGGCCCTGCTCTCGGTCCCGCCATCATCATAAGTACAGTTGGCGGGAATGAGAGACAGGGCCTTCTCAGTGGTGGCCCCTTGGCTATGGAATGCCCTTCCTAGGGAGATTAGATTGGCTTCCTCGCTCTTATCATTCCGGAAGAATCTTAAGACATGGCTATTTGAGCGGGCAAAAGAACAAAAGAAAAATAAATAATGAAAGAAAGAACAAAAGAAAGAAAAAGAACAAACGAAAGAAAGAAAAATAAATAAATAAAGAACAAACAAAAGAAAGAAAGAACAAACGAAAGAAAGAAAAATAAATAAAGAACAAACAAAAGAAAGAAAGAACAAACGAAAGAAAGAACAAAAGAAAAATAAAGAAGGAACTAACGAAAGAAAGAATGGAAGGAAGGAAGAACAAATGAAAGAAAGAACAAACGGAAGAAAGAATGTAAGAAAGAAAAAAAAAAGAAAGAAAGAAAGAAAAGAAAAAAAAAGAAAAAAAGGAAAAAAAAGAAGAAAGAAAGAGAAAGAAGAAAAGGAAGAAAAGAAGAAGAAAAAAAAAGAGAGAGAGAAAGAAGAAGGAAAGAAGAAAGAACAAGAATAAACAGAAGAAATCACTCCTATCATTCCGAAAGAATCTTAAGACATGGCTATTTGAGCGGGCATTTGAAAATACGGAGTAAAGGATATAATAATGGAATAACTATAGTTTTAATTATTATCGATTGAAGTATGTTTCATTATAATGTTTGAGTTTATTGTTGCTGATGTTTTTTATATTGTATATTGCAATTGTATCCTTGGTGGCATTGTAAACCGCCCCGAGTTGCCGGAAGGCTGAGAGGGCGGTATAGAAATGTACTAAATAAAATAAATAAATAAATACAGTACCCAAGCTAGTAGGTAATACATTGATCCCAATCTTTTGCGAAACCATGTACTACTTTCAACTTCAATATCATAGTTATCATAAAGGTACAAGTTGCTACTACTCAGGCATGGAAACGAATCAAATGGCTTTGAGTGAGGTCTCTTCACTTAACTGCATTGAGTCTACAATGACACATAGAATCATAGAATCAAAGAGTTAGAAGAGACCCCATGGGCCATCCAGTCCAACCCATTCTGCCAAGAAGCAGGAATATTGCATTCAAATCACCCCTGACAGATGGCCATCCAGCCTCTGTTTAAAAGCTTCCAAAGATGGAGCCTCCACCACACTCCGGGGCAGAGAGTTCCACTGTTGAACGGCTCTCACAGTCAGGAAGTTCTTCCTCATGTTCAGATATAATCTCCTTTCTTGTAGTTTGAAGCTATTGTTCTGCATCCTAGTCTCCAGGGAAGCAGAAAACAAGCTTGCTCCCTCCTCCCTGTGGCTTCCTCTCACCTATTTATACATGGCTATCATATTTCCTCTCAGCCTTCTTCTTCAGGCTAAACATGCCCAGCTCCTTAAGCCGCTCCTCATAGGGCTTGTTCTCCAGACCCTTGATCATTTTAGTCACCCTCCTCTGGACACATTCCAGCTTGTCAATATCGCTCTTGAATTGTGGTGCCCAGAATTGGACACAATATTCCAGGTGTGGTCTAACCAAGGCGGAATAGAGCATGGGGAGCATGACTTCCCTGGATCTAGACACTAGGCTCCTACTGATGCAGGCCAAAATCCCATTGGCTTTTTTTGCCGCCACATCACATTGTTGGCTCATGTTTAACTTGTTGTCCACGAGGACTCCAAGATCTTTTTCACACGTACTGCTCTCGAGCCAGGCATTGTCCCCCATTCTGTATCTTTGCATTTCGTTTTTCCTGCCAAAGTGGAGTATCTTGCATTTGTCCCCGTTGAACTTCATTTTGTTAGTTTTGGCCCATCATCTCTCTAATCTGTCAAGATCGTTTTGAATCCCGCTCCTGTCCTCTGGAGTCTTGGCTCTCAATTTGGTGTCATCTGCAAACTTGATGATCCTGCCTTCTAGCCCTTCATCTAAGTCATTAATAAAGATGACTTAGCCCAGGACGGAACCCTGCTGAGGGCACTCCACTCGTCACTTCTTTCCAGGATGAAGAGGAAGCATTGGGGAGAATCACCCTCTGGGTTCGTCCATTTAACCAGTTACAGATCCACCTCACATAATGCAGTTAACTTCATGATTAAGCGTCATTATATGACAGAGTAAATGGAGCCTAAGTCACACTCTCTCAGCCCCAGAAAGACTTGGGATAGGTTTACCATCAACCAGAAATTACTTGAAGACACTCAACAACTGCAAGGCAAAGAACATTGGCAAGCGTGCATTTCAAGAATGTAAGACTGAGCAGAGACACGGTCGGAAATTCAGCTGACAGGTAACTAACTATCAGTTGCTAACTCCAAAGGGTCACCTGTTCTGTGCCTTGCAGAACAGCAGTAGCATTCTTCTTTTTCTAGCTATTAGTGTGTATTTCACAATCACAGCAACACAGGAAAAGAAACTTTA